CGTACCTCTGCACCACCTTCTAGGCACGTGCACTCAATGATCTCCAGATAAATTCCTGGCAGTGGAAATGTACAATTAAAGGATAAATGTTTTAAACTTTTGAGTTTTAACATTACCAGAAACTAAGCTACCACCTGTTACGTGTGCCTTTCCTCTTTATTCTCATCAATGGTGGCTGTGGCACCTTGTTCCAATTTCCATTTTTTTGCTGTGAACCAAACATACTTTACACCTTTATGTTTCCATTTTTGTGACTGCATTTGTTTTCCCTATGGATTGTTTTTGATATATGCCATATTAACACCTCTGTCTTGTGCTGCAGACTTTTTAAAACTATTTGTCAGCTATCACTTGCCTTTTGTTTATGATATGGAATATATGGACGTTTTAAATGTTTTAAGTAGTCAATTGTACTGTCTTTCATCTTGATGCTTATTCTGAAATCAAGTCCAGGCTTCACCGCTGAACACGGTACAGATTGAACAGCTGTGTGCATGAAGTGGGTGCAGTGGCGTGACTGAGGACTAAGTCCTCATTGGCACCTGGCTCAGCACAGGGTCCATGTTGGTTTAAGGCTATTAGTAGTTTCTAGCTTAGCTCTCATGCCCCACAATTCTTTATTAAATATTCACCTATTCTTATTTCTAGTATTTATTATTTCAGTTTGACATTTAGACCAATCCATCTGGAATTACTTTGGCATAAACCAAATACTGCATTTGTAGTCTGCTAAAGTCAGGACTGCCTCCACCAAGCCAGCCCTAATTTTGCTTCTTTGAAGTTAAGCAACAGGGAAGATGTGTCAGGACACAGCAGCAACAGCCACGATGAGCTTCCTCCTGCCCTCTCCTCCAAGTGCCATTCTGTTACTGCCCTGGGTTTCCTTTTCAGACTCCTAGTAGATGACTGGCACAGGCTGGCTGCCCAGGTCAAGTTTGCCCAGAAAGGGAAGTAGGGCTGGGGGTTGGAATTGCCCCAGCTGTACTATTTTTGAGGACAGACATGATTAGCCATTGAGAGTCACTACTTAACTGCAGATTGTTGTAATTCTTTACTAATTACCAACAATATTACACAGCAAGTTGGTGCCATTTTAGAATCGATTTCTCCAAACTCTTCATATGTATCACGTGTTCCTCATGTTGCTGTAATGAGCGAGGGAGCTTCCTGAGCAAGCAGTGTGACACCCCCACCCCCAGTCACACGGAAGAGCTGCCAGCATTTCCCTCCTTGCTTACAAGGGGAGAAAACTGCTTCTGTGAGTGGGGTATCGGGAGCCCATGGTTAGAAGGGCCTGATCTCATGTCTGGATGTCCTGTCATGTTCCTGGGACCAGCTCCTTCTCCTGGCAGGCAGTCCCGCACAAAACTCCCCATTTAGAGTGGACAAATTCCCTTTTTCTTGTCACTTTTTTTTCTTGGCAAAATGTCCTCCCCTTGCAAGCACCTGTTAAGGGTTGATTTTTCAGTAAGTTACAGTGAAGGTACTGCCTGCTGTGTACAAACCCTAGCCCAGCCACAAGTTCCCCAGGAGCCTCCACGGGATGACAGTGATAACCAAACTGAAGTGAGGGGGGCAGCTCATGAGGGCCTCCCAGAGGGATGGGCACAGCTGCCTTACAGGTATGTGTGATAGTTTTTACCTTTAAAAGTATCCTCTTCTGAAAGATTCCAGGTATAGCCAAAAGTTGAAAGTAATCAGATTTCAGTGGATAAAATCCAGCATTTGAAATCAGTAAGGAAGATAGAAAAAAAGCAAAATAAAAATCAGAGAAATATACGCTAACCCCAAAGATCGTTCATTCTCAAGCAGCACAGGCTCTAGTAAGGGCAAGAAAGATGAGCTGCAGAGATGGTAAGTTCTATTCAACAGGCTGTATGTTCCCTTCGAGAACCTTAAAAACAAAACAACCCTGGCCAGGACTATCACCTGATGCCCTGCATACACTGACCATGGGCACCAGCACAGTGGGTGTGGGCCCCAGGATCAGTGTACGATTTGGCTGGAGCCCAAATGCTAACTCTTACCTAGGGAAGAGTAGGTGGGAGCTTCACCACGCTCTGGAGTGCAGTGAGATCCATGACATGGTGCCCCCTCCCCTTGGAGCTGGAGAAGCCACTTTTGACTCCAAGCCAAAGAGGTGGCTTTTCCAACTCTGAGCTGCACCCTGGGTAGAACGCCCCTGCCATCCTGTGCTAACATGTGGCAAGTTGGTGGTAATTTGTTCTTATTAGCAGTCGCTACCCAAGCTATGCCATCTCATGGTGCAGGGTTAGGATACACTCTCCAGATGCCTTCCCCATCCGGCCCGTTAGTACCTTGGCACCATCTTTGCCATGACTCCTGCCTGCACCAGGTGGGCCTTTCAGGCCAGTCCAGTCAGGTCTGCACGCTCATTGTACCACTTAACAGACATAAAAGCTGAAGAGACAGGTTAGAGAGGGCAGAAAAAGTGTTTCCATTTCCACAGCTATCAGGGAGATGCTATAGAGACAGCACTCCATGGCTTCCCCCACCTTGCTACCCACCCCTCTTGGCCTAACTCATTCTCCTGGTTGTCCCATGTCTCTAGCCTTCTTCACTCTCGGATTTGCTTGTCGTCCTCTGTCCACCACTAACACTGTGGTAGTCCCAAGGTTCTGTCCCTGTCTTCTCACATAGGATGTTCTTCCTGAAAAATCTTAGCCACTCCTAGGGATTGAATGCCACTGTTATGCTAATAACTCCCAAATTTCTAAGTGTCACAGACTCTCTCCCAAGGTACACATCCAACCAGGTCCTAATTATTTTTCTTGAGTGTCTCTGGACATCTCAAATACAGCATGCTCACACACACCCCTCCTGCACCCTGGCTGGCTGGTAAATGACCCCACTTATCACCTGGGGGTCATCATCTCCTTTCTTCTGTACCTCCCATCCGGCACTAAGATCTGTGTCTCTTCAGCCCATCCATTTCCATGCACACACTCACAGCCCTGGTCTGTGTTCGAATTCCCTGTGATCTGGACCACACCTGAACTGCCTCATTCCTCTCTCAAGGACCACTGCAGGCACACTCCTCTACAGTGATTTCTCCCCACAGAGAATGAGTTGGCCCTTCAAAATAAACTTTCCTCCCATTCAGTGTTGAATGTAACATTACTTCATGCATACTGTCTGTTGTGTCTTTTACCTGTAGTCCCAACAGCAAGTATAATGCCTGCTATGAAGGAGCTACTCGAACTTTATTGAATAAAGACATTTAAAAAATGGTATTTTTGTGCTGTTCAATTGAAATCTTTCCTATGTGAGCACTAGACCATATTGCTTTTCTCTATACACCATCAGTTATTCTAAATGCATCACAAGGGCCCAAATTCAATAGGTCAAAAGAAAAGGCAAACTTAAGAGCCAAGTATGGTAAACTTGAGGAGAGTGGGAGAGTGTCTGTTCAAAGTGAGGCATTAGAGGGGTTTCAGGCAATGTTCTATTAATCTGGATGGCATTTACATGACAATTTATAATTATCTGTTAGTATACAAACATCCTATTCACCTTTCTGTATGCTGTTTATATTTAATAAAAATAGTTAATGTTTAAAACCCAATATTCAATGAACAATCTGAAAAGGAAATCAAGAAAACAAAATACTTAGGAAACCAAGGAGACAAAAGTCTTGTACATTGAAAACTATAAAATTTTGATGGAACAAGACACCAATAAATGGAAAGACTTCTTCTATGTTGGATTGAAAGACCTAATATTAAAATGAGAATATTAGCCAAAGTGATTTACAGATTCAATGCTTACACCATCAAAATCCCAGCAGCATTTTTCACAAAAATAGAAAAATCCATCCTAAAATTCACATGAAATCTCAAGGGACCCCAACTAGCCAAAACAATCTTGAACAGCTAGAAGTGTTACACTTCCTGATTTCAAAACTTATTTTTACAGAGCTACAGGAATTCAAACAGTGTGTCACTGATGTAAAGAAGACACACAAAGCAACAGAATAGAACATAGAGCCCAGAGCTAAACCCTGGCACATATGGTCAAAAGATTTTCCTCAAGGGTGCTAAGATCATTCATTAGGGAAAGGACAGTCTTTTAAATAAATGGTGTTGGGAAAACCAGATAGGCTTATGCAAAAAGAACAGAGTTAGACCCTTACCTTGCACCAAAAATAAAAGCTAAAACAGATTGAAGACATAATCTAAAAGCTAAAACTTATAGGGAAGTGATTTCTTGGATATGACAGATACCAAAAGCAAAAATAAATTGGGCTACAGAAAAATTAAAAATTTGTATCCATTGAAGGACACAAAATTTTGCAAATCATGTATCTGATAAGGGGTTCATATCTAGAAAATACAAGGAACTTCCAACTACAATTGTAAGAGCAAATAACCAAACCAAAAAATGGGCAAAAGACCAGAATAGAGCTGCATAGTATTCCATGGTATATGTACACCACAATTTATTAATCCATTCATGGGTCGATGGGCACTTGGGCTTCTTCCACTACCTAGCAATTATGAATTGGTATGCAATAAACATTCTGGTACAAATATCTTTGTTGTAGTGTGATTTTTGGTCTTCTGGATATATACCTAGTAGAAGAATTATAGGATCAAATGGCAGGTCTATTTTTAGTTCTCTATGTGTTCTCCAGATATCTTTCCTAAATTGTGGTATATGTACACCATGGAATGTTGTATGTATATACCACATTTTGTTTATTCATCTGTCATTGGGTACTTGGGTTGATATATAGAGGGTGGCCATAAAGTTCATGTGCAATTAAAAATAGATAATGATGGGCACTCTGTACTACAACATGGATGAATCTTGAGGACATCATACTAGCTGAAATGCAGTCAAAAAAGACAAATACAGTGTGATTCAGTCCATGAGGTACTCAAAGTAGTCAAATTCAAAGAGAAAGAAAATAGAATGGTGCTTGCCAGGGGTAGGGAAAATGCTGGTGGTGAAGGGGAGCTGTTTAATGAATACAGTTTCAGTTTTGCAGTATCAAAGAATTTTGGAGATTGTGTAACAATGTGAACGCACTTAACACTACTGAACAGTATACTTAAATGTAGTTAAGATGGTAACTTTTATGTGTATTTACCACAATTTTTTAAATATAGTTAATAAAGGCATGAAAAATTATTTTTAAAATGAATCATGACTTAACATGTAAGTAAAACTATAAAGATCCTAGATAAAAATGCTGTAATTTTCATAAGCATAAATTAGGCAATGGTTTCTTAGATACAGCAAAAGAGAAATAAATTGTAATTTCCCAAAACCAGAAATTGTGCTTCAAAGGATACCACCAAGAAAGTGAAAAGACAAATCATAAATTGGGACAATTTGCTACTTGTCTTTAAGGGACTTCCACCAAACGTAAGAACTCTTAAGGCTCGGTGCCTGTGGCTCAAGTGGCTAAGGCGCCAGCCACATACACCTAAGGTGGCAGGTTCGAATCCAGCCTGGGTCCGCCAAAACAATGATGGCTGCAACCGAAAAAAAAATAGCGAGGCGTTGTGGTGGGCGCCTGTGGTCCCAGCAACTTGGGAGGCGGAGGCAGGAGACTAGCTTGAGCCCAGGAGTTGGAGGTTGCTGTGAGCCCACAGCACTCTACCCAGGGGGACAGCTTGAGGGTCTGTCTCAAAAAAAAAAAAAAAAGAACTCTTAAGAACTCAACAATAAAAAGACAACCCAACTGAAAACTGGATTAAGGACTTGAAGAAACGTTTCTACAGAGACCTACAAGTGGCCAATAAGCATACAAAAACGTGCTCAAACATCACTATCCATTAGAGAAATGCAAATCGGATTAAAATCCCAATTAGATCTATTTCATACCCAGTAGGATAACTGTAATCAAACAACTGTTGATGTAGAGATGTAGAGAAAATGGAACCCTACACATTGTTGGTGGAAATGTAAAATGGCACAACTGTGGAAAATTTTGGCACTTTATCAAAATGTCAGAGTTGGTACGATCCTGTAATTCTACTCTTAGGAAAATGAAACATGTCCATGCAAAACTTGTTAACCAGTATTCATAGCATTACTAATAATAGCCCCAAAGTGGAAACAAGCCTAATTCTACCAACTGATTGAATTAAAAAAATGTGGAATAGCTATACTATGGAATATCCTGGAGCAATAAAAAGTAATGAAGTACAGATAGACTTTACACACGGATGAACCTTGAAAACATGGTAAGTAAATGTAGTTGGTCCTGAAAGACCACATTACATAATTCCATTTATATGACAAGCCCAGGATAGGCAAATCTTTTGAGACAGAAAGTGTAACAGTGGTTGCCAGGGGCTGAGAGGAATGAGAAGTGACTGCTAATCAGTATAGTTTTCTTTCTGGAGTGATGAAAATGTTCTGGAATTAGATGGTCATGATGGTTGCAAAACTCTCTGGACATAATAAAATTCGCTGAGTTACATTGTTTAAGAGTGAATTTTTTTTTTCTTTTTTTGGAGACAAAGTCTCACTCTATCACTGTGGGTAGAGTGCTATGGTGTCATAGCTCACAGCAACCTCCAACTCTTGGGCTCAAGTGATCATCTTGCCTCAGCCTCCCAGGTAGTTGGGACTATAAGCACCTGCCGTTAACACCCAGTTAGTTTTTTTTTGAAGGGTCTCACTCTTGTTCAGGCTAAGCTCAAGCAATCCACTCACCTTGGCCTCCCAGAGTGCTATGATTAACAGCCATGAGCCACTGCACTGGGCCCCAGTTTAAGGGTGAATTTTATGGCATGTGACTTTCTCCAAATAAAGCTCTCAATAAAGCTCTGAGTAAAAAGAAGACAAGAGTTTTCTAAAATATGTTTTAGAGGCTAGATGTGGTGGCTCACACTTGTAATCCTAGCACTCTGGGAGGCTGAGGCAGGTGGACTGCTTGAATTCAGGAGTTTGAGACCAGGCTGAGCAAATCAGGCATTGTGGCAGGCACCTGTAGTGCAGCTACTCAGAAGGCAGAGATAAAAGGATTTACTCAAGCCCAAAGTTTGAGGTTGCTATGATGCCAGGGCACTTTACTCAAGACAACAGAATGAAGAATCTGTCTCTAAAAGACATTTTAGAGTGTTTCTTACCAAAGTCACTTTTAATAAAAGTTGCAGCACTTAAATAGATATACAACAGTTATTGAAAAAAAATCCATCATTTTCCCTTTCCTGGTGAGTAGCAGTACACGTAACAGACCTCAGGGATATTCTCTAACAATGACTCTTGCTGGTGTGGAACTCTTACAGCCTTTTAGAACCTTTAAAAATGCAAGTGAGCTATATAATGCCTCAACTCCTTTAACTCCAATGAACTATGAAAGTATAAAGCAGTTCTGGTTCTTCATTATTTTTTAATAACAAAAATAAAACAGAAAACTTGGACTCCTATTTGGCTTTCTACTGTATTAAATACCAGAATAAAATTACCGTAATGCTAAGCTTTTTTCAACCACTTCTTGTTTTTCACTCTTGCTTTCTCTAGTGAATGCCTGCTTCGGTTTGTTCCACATCCCTTTCCATTTAGCATAAGGCCCCCCACTAACCTGATGTGATTCTGATGGGAGTTATCATTGATAATGCATCTGATCTGACCGGGGCCTGGCCAAGATCACAGGCCCTACTCTTTTCCACAGGCCCTACTCTTTTCCACTCTGGTCCAGTGCAAAGACAGCTGATCCAGGCAAGACCAGAGTCCCTTTGTAGAATTTGATTTGTGGACCTTGGAAAAGAAAGTTCTCTCTTTTTGTGTCAGAGATTTTTAAGAATGTTGCCTGTGGCTGACAGTGTCCATTATGTGGACAAAGCCAGTGTGCACAGAAATCAGGAAACAGGAAAACAAAAGATGATGGTAAAGCTCCCGGGAAACATCTGAGGCTTGGCATCCACCTATACTGGATGATATTAAACTTCTGAGATGGTAACTTCAGTCAATCAGTGCAAGTGAAGTATTTATTCTCTAAGGAATCAAACGTAGTTCATTTTAGAACTGAAGAGAAGAGACTGAAAAAAAGTTTTATCCTAAACTTTCCTGACAGACATCTTCCGGATAGCCTCCATGTTATGGATTTTGTCAGTGGCCTTCCAAATGTGAAAACTGTGTAGTTTGATTGAAGAGTAAAGTTTGAAAATAACAATCTATCCATTCTTTGTGCTTTAGAATAATTTTCAAAACACATTTATTTTGCTCTCAGCCCATAACTGTTCCATTAAATTTCTGCTCTAAAAGTAACTTACATCAAAAGAATCATTTACTTTATATCTATTCAGAAACAGAACTCATCCATTTTTCTCTAGTGTTCCATGGAGGGAAAAAAATAATCCAAAAAGATGTAGCAAAAATGATGTTTCCTATTTGGCTCCTCTGTTTTAATGACCAGAAAAAATCCTTTGTTGTCTTCACCTTGGTTTCAATAATGTTATCAATAACCTTTTCTTCCTCTGAATCTTGCTCTGGTATCCAACTGAAAATAGATATACAATTAAATCAAGTTTGGTACAATATCATTAATAAAACAATAACTTTGGTAAGGGGTATCACTACATAAGAAAAGTAAATCAATTTCCAGCAAAATCAAAAAGGCAATTTTCATTTCATTTTTCAAATTTCATTTCAAATTGCATTTCAAGAAACAGACATTGTAATACATAAAGATGGCATTAAAAACAAGAGTTCTAATTCAAGGCGATCAATAAGGATTTTCTTCTCAAGTAGAATCCAAGTTACATTTACTTTTTCTTTGGATTACAGTCAGTATATGTTCTTTTAGAAAACTTTCAAGGTTTAAGTGCATTTGAAATCAAATATATGTACTTGAATCTTTAAATAAATACTGTCGGGGGGGGGAGCCCTCAAAAGTGTTAAGTAACACAATGATTTTGGCTGACAGCATGTTCTTTGACTTAAGCCTCCCAGTGCAGTCACTTCTTAAGGATTGTAGGTAAAACGGAAGGTTCTAAAATCAGTTTATAAAGCAAAATTGCAGTCAGTATTACTCCCTAAAAATCCTATAGGAAGGAATTATTTTGGCAACACACCCTATCACTGAGTCCAACACTACGAGTATAGTACAGACACCCCTTATTATTCTGAGTACTAGATGAAGTAGCTAAGAGTCATATTTTCAAAAATAAAAAATAATCTGTAAACACGGGAATCATAAGCTGGTGAGCTCCTCATACTATGTGGGAACAGCTGATGCAGAGTTCCTGTCTTATTTTCAACAGGACAATCGGAAATAGCAAGGAAAATTATCAATACAATTGTTATGTTTCTGGTTTTTTGCTAAACATGTACAACTGAAGTGGTATTAGTTGTGACATGACTCTGCTCAGATTGTAAGAATCTATTAGTCTGCAACAAAGTTCCCTAGACTGCTCTTTCCAGCATCAAAGTGAAGCACTTTTTACTTTTTCAAGATAATTAGAAATTTCCTGAATTAAAATTCTAATATTAGATATTAAAAATTCTAATATCTTAACTTTTTTGGACATCATGGAACAGGGAATTTCAGGGAGTTTAATGTAAATTCAGTCATTTGATATGAGTACATAGTATAATTCACTAACTCCTACACTGAGTATTCTTCATGACTTCTCTATTACCTAAATATGCTCTGAAATTCTTAACAAATCTAAAGGCTTATATTCTACATGGGTAACAAAACTATGGGAGGGAAGGTAAGAAAATATTTCCCTCTTTTATTAAATGACAGGAAAAGACGGCAGAGAACTGTCTCTTGAGAAAGGAAACAGAGTGAGTGTGTGGCCAAATTTAATCTAACTATATATTCTCCCTGCATCTGATTAGCTGGCAAACATGCTCAAGTTATTGAGCTCCTGGGACCTAAATATCTGTATCCTGTTTCTTTTGTCAATAAAAAGGGAAGAATTTTTAGTATAGTTCCTAAAGAAACAAAATCATGCTCAAGTCCAAGAGACTGCTTTCTTTAAAGGAATGTTCATATATCTGATATCATTCTTTCCTTTCTCCAAGAAAAGACTCAATTTTCATTCCAAAGATCTCTGCAGATCTTTCAAATCAAAAAATGTTAGCGCAGAACCCAGACTTCAATGGGTCTTCTTCTTAGGCCCTATTTCCATAATCCATCACTCCAAAATTCAGACACAGATACTGACATTTTCTACATAAGGTGAACAAACATGTATATACTTTATACCTCCACATCATGGATTTGTGTATAACTGCCAAATGACCTAAATTCAGAATGACTGACATCAACTTTCAACCATTTATACTTGCCAACACTTCATTCTAGCACTTTCAGAAATTCATGTAGGTCTTCAGAATAACAGGAGAATTAGCTATGGGCTTTCATGAATGCTGTCTTAATATTCAACTCACTGGAGTAAGAATACTACCTACATCCTTTTTCCAAATTATATCACTGCAATTTATAACTATTAAGTATATCACTTATACTATCACTCATATATTTAAATTCACATAGCTAATTTTTAGCATAAGTTTTTAAAAATCTTTAACCACTTACCATCGATCTTTTACATTCAAAGAATGAATTTTGCAAAGCTCTGCAGTGTCCTTCCTTCAAACACTGCCGAGGGGATTTTCCTTCCTATGACACATAAAAAAATATAAATGCCTGGGAAAATCTCTCACAAAATACGAAATCTCTGTCCTGAAAATTGTTCTAAAAATGTTAATATAGGGAAGTAAAAAGTTATATAAGAAATTGTTGTTAATTCATTTTTATTGTTGGTGCTTACAGAGAAGAGATAGAATGAAAAAAATTGCAGTTAAATTTTGGGCACTTTAAGGGCACTGCTGAGTTCTTAAAAGCAGTAGTTTCCATAGGATGCTTTTCTTTAAAATGTTTATGTAATAATCCATAAACTAGTTATCTTCATCTCCCGTGAATCAGTAAAATCAGAAGATGTTTACTAAACATTTTACATCAGTGGTCCCCAACCTTTTTGGTATCAGGGACCAGTTATTTTTCCACAGAAGCAGGGCAGTGATGGGACCAGAGGTGGAGCTCAGGCGGTGATGGAAGCAATGGGGAGTGGATATAAATAAAAATGAAGCTTTGCTCCATTGCCCTCCACTTCCTAAGAGGCCATGGACTGGAACCTTTTTGGCACCAGGGACCAGTTTTATGGAAGAGTTTTTCCACTGACAAGGGGGGTGGGTGGGGAGGATGATGGGACAGAAAGTGGAGCTAAAGCAGTGATGCTATGCAGTCCAGTTCCCAACAGGCTTTACATAGATGATAGATGTTAACGAGGTAGGCTGGAGTACTTAAAACATGGAAAAATATAACCCAGATTTCACCTGCTCTACACAATCTCAAGAAGATTTTCACTCTCCAACCTCATCACTGTAACCACTCCCCCAAACTTTGATTTTTCAAGGGCTGGTCACACTTCCCCAGTTTTTACTACTCTGAAAAAAGTTACAGGGTACCACATCCATGGTCTTCCTGTTCTCTAGGAAATCTTGGCCGCTTTTTAGTCGGTTGTCTGCCTGGGTCCTGGTACATCAGGGATTGTCAAAAGTGAGTCAGTATAGCAAGCTTCCTTGTAATATTACATTACTGCTGATGGGGTATGTTGGCTACATGAACAATGTGGAGGTAGACAAAAGACTGGATGACAGACTGCTAGTTGTCCACTAATATCTTCTCTTCCTTTTTATCTGGCATATGGCTGGGCTGCATGTCCCAAAATTTCTAGATTGGTCCTGAAAGAGGTTTACCCCCTTTTGCTACTGACTCCATAAGGTTGGTTAGACCTATGATGTGGAAGCAGAGCACTGCTTGACCATGAGTATGAGAATAACAGCCTGTTATTATAAATCAGCATAAGCTTTTAAAAATCTTTAACCACTTACCATTGATCTTTTACATTCAAAAACTGTTAATGGAGACAAAAAGGAGATACGCTATGATGAGTGAAGTTCCTCTAGTATATTTTCAACCTCCGAAGAGTAATTAAATTCTAAAAAGTTTATCCAAGAGATGCCACTCAATCTTTTGCCTTGCTCCAGCCCTACCAGAATTTATATCCTTCCCACCATTACCTTGACTTTCTCTGATCTCTAGCACTATCACCTAAGGCAGCGCCTAGAACTATGTATTTATGTTGAATTTCTCCATAGAGTGTGGAGCCACATGTTTCAGGTGGCTTTAAGATTGGCGGGAACAGATGATAACCCTCAACTGGCATGAGAGCAGATTAACTACTTTATTCAAGAAGTTAAGGAATCAGATGACGTGGCCATACACAGCAGGCACAGACCTGGGTCTCCAGGGTCCTCAGTGGGGAGTGGTGGGTGGTAGCTGCTCTTTTAAACTACAGCTGAAGGCACTACAAAGTAATTTAACACAAAATAATGAACTTCCTCTAAAAAGGCTGTTTATAACCGTCAGGTTCTTCTAACTCAGTGGTTTTCAACCTTTCTAATGCTGCGACCCTTTAATACAATTCCTCATGTTGTGGTGACCCCCAACCATAAAACTGAGGAACTGTATTTATTAAAGGGTCACGGCGTTATTAAGTCTGAGAACAACTGTTCTAACTGAGCTCAGAATCGACAAGAACGCATAATCAATGGGGGGAAAGCAAAGTCTGCACCAGATGTCGTGCTCATAATCTCTGCCTGCAGATTTCTAAACGTCCAGAGATCCACTTTCCATACAAGAGAGATTATGTCCCATTCATCAGTATTTAGCACTCAATAACGTCTGCTTAATCAACCGTCGCAAAAAATTAACTTGAAATTCTCCTTGCCACCAGCATTGACCTCCACTGCCACGTACTTTCTTCCTGTTTGACGTTCACTTCTGTGGTCTTCTGATGCTGAATGCCAGGAGAAAAGCCAAGCTCCTCGCCCTGAAACACACGGGCCTTCGCCTCTGGCTGCAACCTTCTTCTCAAGCCTTCAATCACACTCCCATACCGCTAGGCTCCTGCCAGCCCTCCCACATCTCCCCGCCTCCACCCTCGCTGTTCTTTCAGATTTTACCCTCCCAAACCACAGTCCCCACTCCTTCACTTGAGAAACTACTACTCAACCTTGAAGATTCAGCTCAAACGCTCCCAGAACGACTGCCGCTAAATCCGGCTCTTGGCGGGCCTACCGGGGCCCCTTGGAGCCCTCCGCCGAGCCCCGCCTCCCGGCTGCAGACCCGGGCGCGCTACCTGGAGCACACAGTCCGACTGCAGCAGACATACGCCCAGGTCCTCCTTCACGCCCGAGCAGGGGCCACCCTCGGGCTTGTCTTCGTAATACCGGGGCATGACGGCGTCTCCTGCCCGCTGCAGCCCCCAGCCTCCACCCTTCCAGTCTCCAACAGCTACGACCTGGCGGGAGGGGGGGAAGGGGAGCCCGCTGCGGAAAACGCCGGACGCCTCCGGTAACAACTTCCGGAGGGCCGCGGGAACGACGGGAGCCTGAGAGGGGCGCATGCGCGGCGGGAGTGGGTGGAAGTGACGCGGCGCGCTCTGAGCGCCGGCTTCGCTGCCGGAAGGGGACTCTGCCTGGCTGGGCTCGGGCTCGGCTGCTGGGAGGAGGCGGTGGGCAGGAGCGGACCCGCGTCGCGGCCGCCACCGGGCAGTAGGTGAGAACTGAGGACTGCTGTGTTCGCGCGCGGCTCGGGCTCGCGACCCGGGCCGTTTCCTCCAACAGCGCTCAGCCCGGCGCCACTGCGGCCCGGACTGACCATGGCGGGTCCGGCCCCATGGCCGCTGCAGAGTTACCAGATAAAATTAAGGACGCTCAGTTATCTTTGAATCGCAGATAAAGGGCTATCTTTAGTGTAAGCATGCTCAAGATACTGCGTGAGACATACTTAATGCCAAAAATTTGTTCGTTCCTTGACAGGAATTCAGATGTAACTGGGCGTTCTGTGTTTTTGGTTGCTAAACCGGGCGGCAGGGAAGTGGCTAGGGCTGGCGCGGCACTGCTGCTGTCCGGGGGGCTTGCGACGTGGAGTGGTAGATAGGGCGGCCGGGCAATCACCTGTGCTCACGGGGCTTCGGCCTGGTTCTCCTGGACTCCAACACGGTCGCTGTACCTACTGAACCATTCTGAGAGTAAAAACACTAGAGATTGGGATGCTTTGTTTTTGTATCACATTCTGGTGACCTGGGAGCTTGCAGGCTATATGCTGATGGATCTGTGTGATTAGGCAGTTTATTTCCCTACTTAGTTACCTTGCTTTCTAATAGATTTAACGGCCTTTCCTTTAAAGGTTTGGTGGATGAGTCAAGATTCGAATCTTGGCTCCATAACTATCTTCATGCTCTTGGGGAGGACATTTCAGCTCCCTGTGCCTCAGTTTCTCTTCCCGCAGCTAACAATAGTGGCCTGGAAAGGCTAGTAATCGTTTGACCCTTGGATAAGTGTTTAATGGGGTGGTTCAGAAAGGCAAGGTGTTGCCCTTGACTGGGGGTACAGTCTCCAGTTCCCAAGACAGCCTCAAAACCAGATGCATTTGTTTTTGACTCTTTACTCTCAGGGTTGGGGAGAACATATAAAGTAATCTCCTTGCCAAATAACTTGGAAGAAAGGTGTGAGTAGCCAAAAGTTTCTTCAGATTATGTGTAAAAGAAATTTCTTTCTTTATCTAGGAAGATGTTGCCAAGTACATCAATGAATTCCTCAATGCAGGGAAACGGAGTCTTGAATTCCAGGGATGCAGCAAGACACACGGCTGGAGCAAAACGCTACAAATACCTGAGAAGGCTTTTTCGTTTTCGGCAGATGGACTTTGAATTTGCTGCTTGGCAGATGCTCTATCTGTTCACTTCCCCACAGAGGGTTTATAGAAACTTTCATTACCGAAAGCAGACAAAGGACCAGTGGGCCAGAGATGACCCTGCTTTCTTGGTCCTGTTAAGTATTTGGCTCTGTGGTGAGTGTCAGTTTGTCTGGAATAGAGTTGAAGAACACATTGACTAGTTGTCTTTGGAGGATCTTTTGTTATAAATGTGTTGGTCAGAATTTGGAGATGTGTGAAGCTATTTCTTCCTTTCTAAAGCCTCAAAAATCTAATAGGAGAGAAGGTTGTATTCTTCCTGGTTCTACAGGTCCCAAGCAGATGCCAGAGTAAACCGTGACCTTGGTATTTTGGAAAGCAGAGGGCGACATTCACTCTGTGTCTTTTCATTACTATGAATTGGTACCCAAACGCTAACTTACTGTGAAAAGGAATATGGAGATTGGAAATTGCATTTCACAATCAGGCAAATCCAGAGCAAGAGTTCTAAAAGTACTGATGTAAATGTGAGAAACTACTTTCAAGTTCTCCAATCCCGTAATGCAAGGGTCTGATCACCTTTAGGGTGTTTTCAGTTTGTAAGATGCTGAAGTTTGTAGGCTGTCATGCAGCTTTAACTGGATTTAACATATGTGCGTGCCTTCTTTGTACTGGTGCTATTCTAAATGCTAGGGCTACTGTGGTGAACTAGCCTGGCAAGGGTCCTCCTCAGCTTAAAATATCTCAGTGGCTGTGCTATGTTCCAAGGTGGTATGAATTTGTACATCAGTTTCCAATAATACACCTTGGGAATTTTGTTTGCATGTCTATCTCCCCCACTAGACTGAGCATCTAGAGGTCAGAGAATGTGTTCTGTATCCCTAGAACCTAGGAGAGTGCCTGAATCAATTTTGTAAATCTTTCTTTCAGTGTCCACTATAGGATTTGGCTTTGTGCTTGACATGGGATTTTTTGAGACAATAAAGCTTCTCCTTTGGGTTGTATTCATAGACTGTGTAGGCGTTGGTCTTCTGATATCAACTTTAATGTGGTAAGTAACATAACTTTGGTTTTTCAGATGCTACTATAGAGTCTCCATTAGTTTCGTTCAGAGGTACAATAGCTGATGGAAATCGAAACCAAGATAGATATTCTAAAATGAACAATTTTGACTGCCAAAATTATTCTAACTTGCCCTTCTGTATTGTTACCTATCTGAAAAAATACTTTAAGTAGATGGCCTGTATCACCAAAGTGCAGCAAATGATTGAAATAACGATTCTATCATACTAACAAAATCTCTGATTGTGTAAAATGTTATTCATTTAGCCAAGTCTGCATAAGTTATTTGGATGATAGCACAGTTTTCTGCATTTGCCAGTAAGGACACTTCTAGATGTTTAAATGTTCGGGATGTTTAAATGTTCCATAGTGTTTAGATCCATCAAGATCTCGAGGGCTATTTTATGGAATCTTACTTTGAATCTTTGACATTAAATGAACTATACTTGAAAGGGGATTTTTATTTTCTTAAACTTCTGGTGCCTCCCTGCTGAGTTAAAACATGCACATATACTTGCTTGTGCACACACACAGAGGTTGTATTGAAAGAGTTCTAGGTCTGACATTTGGGGTTGATTTGACAACAGTATACTGAGTGTAAACCTAGTCTTTGGTTTTTCAGTTCTCTCACAGACGTAGTGCTCTTGTCTGGTTGGTATGCTGGGTGAAGGGCAAGGGATTAGCCAGTGATCTCAGTTGGGGACCAGTGGATGAGTAGGTGTGGTGGTCACTGTATATTACAGAAAATAACTTCAAACATTATAGCCCCAGGGAGATCTAGGTTCAAATGCCAGCTTGGGTCATTTGTGTAACTCTTAGTCCCAGGCTTCTCTTTTGTAAAATGAGTTAATTATCCATTTTGCCAGGTTTTTTGAGAGGATTGTGGTGTGAAAATTACCTGGCACATAGTTAAGTGCTCAATATGTGGCAGTATTAATATTTTAAACAAAACTCTTGAGACTGTAACTCCTGACAGTACCAGTCTTTTACAAGCATACCTGAGAGATACTGTAGGTTCAGTTCCAGACCACTATAAGAAAGCAAATATTGAAATAAAGTAAGTCACACAAATTTGTTTCCTGGTACATGTTGAAGTTACATGTATATTATACTGTAGCCTAGTAAGTGTGCAATACTATTATGTCTAAAACATACTTTAAAAAATACTTTATTGCTAAAAATACACAGATACAAAATGAGCACATAGTGCTGAAAAATGGCATCAGTGGACTTGCTTAACACAGGATTGCCACAAACCTTCATTTGTAAAAAAGCGCAATGTCTGCAAAGTTCAACAAAACGAGTTATGCATGGGTTTTCCTTTGTAACTTCTGACTAATTCAGGTTTTATATGTGCTAGTCAGTAAATGCTGTGCACTGCTAATCTAAAATTCTAAAATTGAGGCAGCACCTATAGCTCAGTGAGTAGGGCGCTGGCTCTATATACCGAGGGTGGCAGGTTCAAACCTGGCCCCGACCAAACTGCAACAAAAAATAGCCGGGTGTTGTGGCGGGCACTTGAAGTCCCGGCTACTTGGAAGGCTGAAGCAAGAGAATTGCCTGAGCCTAACAGCTGGAGGTTGCTGTGAGCTATGGCACCATAGCACCCTACTGAGGGTAACAGTAAAACACTGTCTCTAAAAAAAAAAATAAAATAAAATTTTAAAATTGGCTTAAAATGAATAGTGCTAACTAATGTAAGTCCTACAGTCATTATCAGAAAATCCGTGAGATTTCTTATTCAATAAAGACTTTTGAGGGAACAATTTAGTCTGTAGCAAGCATTCTGCCATGAATACATTGATCCTGGAGGGCTACAGAAACCAGGTCAGTCTGGAGTTTCACACCATTCATGAGAGTCTATATCATTGTTTGAGTTAAATAGCCAAGGACACTTGGTATTTTTGAGAACCCATGTTGTGTTGTGGTATGTGTGAGGAACTAGAAATAGAAAAGCTTACATGCACTGTGATCATCCCAGAGGTGCTATAGGAACTAACACAAGGTGTTTTGGGGAGATGTGGGAATTGCAAGTGCAAAGGCATAAAAATGGAACAGTATGCTAGATCTGGGAGCACAGGGTGACACTGAATAGTTGAGGAAAAGACATGACTAGAGAAATTGGCCTTAATGCAATTCAGAGGAAAAATTGGACTTTATCTCATAGGCTGCTTCTTTCTGTAGGTTTGGGGTGGAGGAGAGGCAGGCACTTGGAAGCCTTGAAGTAGGAAAATCATCAGATTCACACTTTAGGAAAAATATTTTCCATGCATTGGTGGGGGTGGAGAAGTAGGCAAACCTGGACACAATTGCAGGGGTCTGCGTAAGACTAGAGTAGTGTGGCAATAACCAAGATAGAAGGGACAGAGGGATTCAAGAGCTTCCTGAAATAACAAGATATGAGGAGGGAGAGGCTGAGGTCTCCTGGGGGATGGCGTGCAAGCTTTAGGCTTAGGTGACCAAGTGGCAGGTGTAGATGAAGCATTCCATATGGGCCGTGTTGAGTTCAGGAAGCTTGTTAAGTATTTAATGGAAATATGAAGGTCAGTAGACACTGAGGTAGCTGATGCTAAACTAGTGACAGCAGCCAGAGCCATGACAAGAGCATGACTGGATTATTAATATGGAGGTGGGAGATGAGAACTATAGTGCCTGAGTGCTCTCAGAAGGCGCAGCTACCTTCTAGAGTTAAGAACCAGACTGAGAACAGAGGCTTGGGAAACACTCATTTATAAGATAAGCAGAGGGACAGGAGCAGCAGAGATGACTGCAGAAAGGGACCTATTGGGAGAGTGAGCTACATGTTAATTCCACAATATTTTTTTTTTGAGACAGAGCCTCAAGCTGTCCCCCTGGGTAGAGTGCTGTGGCATCATAGCTCACAGCAACCTCCAACTCCTGGGCTCAAGCGAGTCTCCTGCCTTAGCCTCCCAAGTAGCTGGGACCACAGGCGCCCACTACAGTGCCCGGCCATCTTTTGGTTGCAACCGTCATTGTTGTTTTGGCGGGTCCAGGCTAGATTCGAACCTGCCACCTTAGGTGTATGTGGCTGGCGCCTTAACCACTTGAGCCACAGGCGCCGAGCCAATTCCACAATATTTTAATGACATATTTTCTTCTTGGCTAAAACAATATTTTATTAATCTCAAGTTTTCTCAAGTGAAGGAGTATTGCGACATTTCCAGTGTGGGAAATTTCCTTAAGTGTGGGATTATTAGTATTGTACTATATTTATCTTCTATTTACTAATTTCATTCCCACTATAGGAATAGGATTTTCTTAATTATATCTTTGAATTTAGATGACACCTTGAAAAGCACATCAACTTTATAAGATATTTATAATATTACAAAAGATCTATTTTTCTATTATCTGTTTTTTTATTCATTGTTCATTTAACTGAACCAGTGGGCTCTGTTGTGAACAGCGTCATTAATTCAAATAATGATCCTGATGACTAGATTTTTACTGGTAACTCTTTTCCTTACTGGTTCCTCCTGTTACTCTTAACTTTTTGTAGGAGGTTGACCTAAGTGTTAGACCTTGGACCTGTTGGCTATCCATGTTCATTTTTTTTGGTGATGTCATTTGGGCCCATGGCTTTAAATATCACACATTAATGAGTTTATATCTATAGTTTGGACCTCCCCTCTGAACTTGAAACTTTATATACAATTTCTTACTCCATATTAATAGGCATCTTCAGCTACAATAGGTCCAAATCCAAAGTCCTGCACTCTTCCTGCCTGCCTCAGAACCACTGCAGTTAATGGCAGCTCATTTTCCATTTGTTCATGGCAAAAATCTCTCCATCATCTTTGACTCTTCTCATATTCCCATCAGTTCTACCTTCCACCTCTAGTGTACCCCACATCTCAGCACCTTCACTTTTACCCCACTGTTCATCTCTTCCTGACAGTAGCCTTCTAACTGGTCTCTCTGCTTCCTCTTGTCCCTAGAGTCTGTTCTTGGATCGGCCACCAGGCAGACCCTGTCATAACATTAAGGTCAATCTTCTCACAATTCCACAATGGCTTTTTATTTCACCAAAAGTAAAAGCCAAAGATTCACAGCTCGGGGTCCATAAAACTTGGCCCCCTAGTTCTTTTATGACTTTGTTTTCTGTTCCTTTTCTTCTTTCTTATGGGCACACTGGTTTCCTTGCCCATTCCTCAGATGTATCAGGCACCAGCACTGCCCTTGGGTCTTTACCCAGATGTTACTTAATGAGTGTCACATCTAAAATTGCATCTCACGTTTGTATTATCTCTTCTTTACTGCTTTATCTTCTCCATGGTACCATCTGATATATTTATGTCATCATCAATCTTGCCCACTAGATTGAAGGCAAGGATTTTTGTCCATTTTGTTTATGCTGGATCTCCAGAATTTAGAATAATGCTTGGGACATATAAGGTAGTTATTAAATATTATCATATTATGAAAGAAGTTTTAATTTTGCACTTCAGGTTCATCTCTAACAAGTACTTAGTGAAACGACAGAGCAGAGACTATGATGTGGAGTGGGGCTATGCTTTTGATGTGCACCTGAATGCTTTTTATCCACTCCTAGTTATTTTGCATTTTATTCAGCTTTTTTTCATCAACCGTAAGTAGCAGTTACTTCTCAGAACATTATCGAAGTCTTCATTGTGTGCGTTGGTAAAGAGATTCATTGTATGTCTCTCTTCTGACAGATATTATCCTAACAGATACATTTATTGGATATTTAGTTGGAAATACCTTGTGGTTGATTGCAGTTGGCTATTATATCTATGTCACCTTCCTAGGATACAGTGGTAAGTAATTTAAAAATATTTTTTTTGGTTGTTTGGGAACATAGTGAAAGGGGAAAAGTTCTAATGCTAATATCCTGCCTTTATGGAGCACTTAGAGACAGCACCCAAGTGTATTATGTAAATTATCTCATTTAAGCTTCGTAACAATTACATGACATAGGTTTACTTATCCCCATTTTTCAAATGAGGAAAGTAAGGCACAGAGAAGATCAACTTGCCCATGGTCATGTAGCTGGAAAGCAATCTATCTGGTCTATAACAGATTTTATAATTTCTAGGAACCCACAGTTTATCTCCAAGTTACTGGCAGGAAGGAATCCAAGACCATTTTGCTCTTCCATTTCTCCTGTGCTTTCAGTTTCTGGATTACCACAGTAAGGGTAGA